CTAGGGTGAGTCTCCCTAACCTCCACTTCCTTTCGTATAAAGGAGGGGTGGGAGACTGGGGTTGCTTTTTTTTTTTTTTGCTTTTTGGGTCACCCCCGGCGATGCATAGGGGTTACTCCTGACTCTGCACTCAGGAATTAACCCTGGCGGTGCTCAGTGCTCAGTGCTCAGGGGACCATAGGGGATGCTGGGAATCGAACCCGGGTTGACCGCGTGCAAGGCCAACGCCCTACCCGCTGTGCTATCGCTCCAGCTCCGACAGGGATTACTTTTATTGATTTGGTTTTTGCTTTGGGGCCACACCCTGCAATGCTCAAGGCTGACTCCTGGCTCTGCTCAGGGGATCCCTCTTGGCGGGTTGTTGGCGGGTTCTGGGGACCCCCCAGGGTGCTGGCTGAAACCGGGACGGCCGCGTGTAAGGCGTGCCCTGTCCGCCCTCCCCGCTGTCCTGTCGCTCCGGCCCGGGTGTTACTTTTCTGGGTTTGAGGTTCCCCGGGTGCTGTACTTGGTTTCATTTTTTTGGATTGAAGGTTCTTCTGCTCCAGAAGCAGGTCTAGACCCTTCCTGGCGCGCAGCCCCTCCCCGGCCAGGATCCCCTGGAATCTAAGACTTGGAGACACCCCCCCACGCATCCGAGCAGGGACTAGGGTGACCCGGGAGCATCCCAGCGGCTTCAGGCAGCCCCTGGCCCAGGCCCTCCCCCCACTCCCCACCGGCCCCCAGCGCCGGGCTGGGGGCGGGAGATGCTCGGCGCCGGCCCCGCCCCCGCGTGCCGGGGCCTCCGCGTTGCCAGGGCGACGGCGCGGTTGCCAGGGCGACCGCCTCCCGCGGGCCGCGCCATCCATCACCCGAGGCGGCGGCGCCCGGGGCGGGCGGCGCGGCGCCCCCAGGCCCAGGAGGGGCGCGGAGGGGGCCCAGGCTGCGCCCCTCGGAGCCGAGCCCGGGCATTTGGAGGCTCCGGGAGGGAAGCTCTCCTCCCCCAGCCCTTGGGCCTCTCCAGGCTGCCCTCCTGACCTTCCCCTGCCCTGGGCCAGGCGGCCGGGACACTGGGCACCTTGTCCCAGCCTGTCTGTGGCCGGCCTGAGTGGCCACCCCCTCCCCCGCTCCAGCCAGCGTACCGCCCCTGTATTAGTGTGACTTTGGTTCTTTTTTTTTTTTTCTTTGCTTTTTGGGCCACACCCGGCAATGAACAGGGGTTACTCCTGGCACTGCACTAAGGGATCACCCCTGGCGGTGTTCAGGGGACCATATGGGATGCTGGGAATCGAACCCGGGTCAGCCGCGTGCAAGGCAAACGCCCTACCCGCTGTGCTATTGCTCCAGCCCCATTGTGACTTTGGTTCTATCTATCCCCTGCTCAGATCAGCCTCTGCTGGCTGGGCACCCTAGACACACACACACACACACACACACACACACACACTCACACTCACACACTCACACACGTATTGAGCATCCTGGAAAAGGGCGCCTGAGACAGAGAACAGTGGGGAGGGTGATTGCCTTGCACGTGGCCAACACGGGTTCGACCCCTGGTGTCCTGCAGGAGTAACCCTTGAGCTCAGAACCGAGAGTAGCCGCCGGGTGAGGCCCCAAATCAAACCAAAAGAAAAGAAAGTGGGCTGAAGGGGCTGGAGCCGTAGCACAGCTGGTAGAGCGTTTGCCTTGCACGCAGCAGACCCGAGTTCAATTCCCAGCATCCCATAGGGTCCCCCGAGCACTGCCAGGAGTAATTCCTGAGTGCAGAGCCAGGAGTAACCCCTGTGACCCAAAAAGAAAAAAAAAGAAGTGGGCTGGAGACAATTCAGACGGCTGGACGTGGGCATGCAGGCGGCCTGGGTTCAATTCAATCCCTGGCACTGCACAGTGCTCTGAGTACCAGTGGAAATAGCTCGCGAGCACTGCCCGGAGTGAACCCCCAAGACTAAAACTAAGTATGGTGAGATGCTGGAAGGAGATGGGGTGTATGGGGGTTGGGAGCGTTAACTGCTTGAATGATCCACGTGGATCATTCATGCCACAGCCCCCAGCCTGCCTGTGATCTACCCTCTCAGGAGGGTCTTCTGGCTTTGAGGCTAGATCAAGCCTTTCCTGAGCTCCGTTCCCTGAGGGAGAAGAGCAGGAACACCACAGAAGGGCGGGGCGGGGCGGGGTCACCTGGCTGGACCGTGAGAGGCAGATGACCTCGCGGCCTCCACAGAAGCCAGGAAACTGGACCCAACGGGCCAGTCAGATGGGCAATGCAGCCTGGCGCGCAGATCTGGGTCAGGGGCCACCTGGGGGGAGCTGGGAGCTGGGTGCCGCTCGGGGCCTCTGTTTCCCCCCACCCAAACCACAGCAGGGGGAGGCCGTTGCGTGTGTGTGTGTGTGTGCCTGAGAGGAGTGTTTCAAACTTGGGGTGCTTTCTCTGACTCTGGAGATGGGGAAACTGAGACCAGGAAGGCGGGGGTGTTGGGAGGGACGTGCTGGCTCCAGGTACGGGCGCCAGACTTGGGGTGGTGGGGGGGCCAAGCAGCAGAGCTGTAATTTCAGCCCCCGGGGAGATAAGGGGGAGAACGTCTTCTGCTCTTGGGCACCCCATCCCTGAATGCCTCCGAAACCTCCATCCAGATCCCTAGAGCAACCTGGGATCATTGGAGATTTGGGGTCCCCCTTTGACCAAAGGTCCTTCTTTTCCCTCCCTGGTTTCTGCCCCGTACCCCCAGTCTGGGGAATCTGAGATGTTTCACGAGCACTTCATGAGGAGTCATTTGGGGTTCATGGCCTCAGGATTTCAAAGCTTCTCTCTCTGGCTGCCTGGTTGGGCAGAGGTGCTGAGATTGGGGTTCTGGGGGGAGGAATGGGGAGCAATGAATGGGGTGCTGGAAGGAGGAAATGAGTGTTGGACCTCAACAGCGGGGAAGGCTGTTCCTTCTAGAACATTCCATCCTGCCTAGGCTCCAGGTGGGGCTCAGAGGCATGGTTCGAGTCATTCATGCGTGGGCTCTAGGGGAGGCAAGACCCTAAAACTTGACAGTTGGGAAGTGGGGGATGGTCTGGTGGGGAGGAGGGCACAGACCAAATCCACATTCAGTTTGGAGCAGGAACACACACATACACACACACACACACACACACACACACACACACACACCTCTCCCCCTCAAATGATCCTCACGCCATGGTTCCTCACAAACTCCTATGCATCCCTCACAACCCAGCCTCAGTGCCCTTCTCTGCAGCACACAACTTCCTGGGTCTCTAGACAAACTTACCTTGAGACTCCCTTTCCCTGGGGTGTTTGTCATCTTTTTTTTGGGGGGGGGTCATACCTGGCGATGCTCAGGGGTTACTTCTAGCTCTGCCTCAGGAATTACTCCTAGTGGTGCTTGTGGGGGACCATATGGGATGCTGGGGATTGAACCCAGGTCGGGCCTGCGTGCAAAGCAAACACCCTCCCTGCTGTGCTATCGCTCCGACCCCTGATCTTTTTTTTTTTTTTTTTTTTGCTTTTTGGGTCACACTCAGCAATGCACAGACGTTACTCCTGGCTTTGCACTCAGGAATCACTCCTGACGGGGCTCAGGGGACCCTATGGGATGTTGGGAATCGAACCTGGGTCAGCCGCGTGCAAGGCAAATGCCCTACCCGCTGTGCTATTGCTCCAGCCCCTGATCTTTTTTTTTTCCTTAACTCTTTGGGCCACACCCAGTGGTGCTCAGGACTGACTCCTGGCTCAGTGCTCAGGGATCACCTGGCGGTGCTTGGAAGACCCAATAGGATGCTGGAGATCAAACCCGGGTCGACCACCTACAAAGCCAGCCCCCTCACCGCTGTGCTATCACTCTGGTCCCCTGTGCCAGCTTTGACAGAAAGTTTTCTGGGGTGAATGAAGGAGAAGCCAAAGCTATGGAGAAGGGATAGGGCGGGGGACGGGGGAGGATGGGACCCAGGGACAGGCTACCTCAGGTGCCATTTCTTTTTTTATTATTATTATTTTAAGTTTTTAATTTTTATTTATTTATTTATTTTTGCTTTTTGGGTCACACCCAGCAATGCTCAGGGGTTACTCCTGGCTCTTCACTCAGGAATTACTCCTGGCGGTGCTCAGGGGCCCATATGGGATGCCAGGAATCGAACCTGGGTCGGCTGCGTGCAATCACTCCAACCCCTTCTGTGGCCTCTTGAGGTACACGAGCCAGTCCGTGCTCCTGGAGGGGACAGGAGGTGCTCAGTGGGGGTTCCCTAGCCTCTCCCGGCCCTGGGACCCTGAGTGCCACCATGGTCCCAAGTGACCCCTTCTTTTTTTTTTTCCTTTTTGGATCACACCCAGCGATGCACAGGGGTTACTCCTGGCTCTGCACTCAGGAATTACCCCTGGTGGTGCTTGGGGGACCCCATGGGATGCTGGGAATCGAACCCGGGTCGGCCGCGTGCAAGGCAAACGCCCTACCTGCTGTGCTATCTCTCCAGCCCAAGTTTTTAATTTTTTAATTTTTAATTTAATTTTTAGTTTTGGCCAAAAACAGTAACAATGATGGCCCTCATTCCCCTGACCCTGAAAGAGCCCCCAATATGCCATCAGGCTACACTAGCACGTGACAGGAATGAATGGAGATGTTACTGGTGCCCGCTCTAGCAAATCGATGAACAATGGGGTGATAGTGATTTTTTTGGGTCACACCCAACGATGCATAGGGGTTATTCCTCGCTCATGCACTCAGGAATCACTCCTGGCAGTGCTCGGGGGACCCTATGGGATGCTGGGAATCGAACCCAGTTCGACCATGTTCAAGGCAAACGCCCTACCTGCTGTGCTATCGCTCCAGCCTCCCAGGTGCCATTTCTTTATTTGGTGGGTTTGGGGGCTTCTGTCCCCTCAGTGTTTGAGGGTCACTTCCTGCAGTGTTGGGGATCGAACTCAGGGTGCCTGTAGGCACAGCACGTGTCCCGGATGTGGACTCTGAGATGGGTGGGGGTCCTGTGCCCCGCCCTGACCCGGCCTGTCCTCCGCCCCACAGGGTCCTGGTGGCAGAAACCACGTCACAGCAGGAGCGGCTGCAGGCCATTGCGGTGAGTCATTCCCCCCAACGCCTGAGATCTGGGGTCCCCCCACAACCCCTGAGACTCAGCTCCAGTGTCAAGGAGCCAATTCCTTCCCAGGAAATCCAAATGCATCCCAGTGGGGAGGGTCTCCCCACATTGGAAAATCTGGAAGCCCCCCTGTCCGCCCATTGGGCAGACTGTGCCCTTCTGTTATCCTATGCCAGCAGGGAAACTGAGATTTGCATGTGGGGGACACAGGCTGGCCCCTGCCTCAGCTGCTCTGAGCCCCGAAGTCCCTGGGGAAGGGGTGGGGCTCCAGGATATTCTCTTCGACGGGATGCAGGCAGGGGATGCTGATGGGGGTCGGGTGGGCAGGTGAGGGGTAGCTTAGAATAGACAGAGGGCAGGTCAGGGCACTTAGGGGTGACACGGGGGCAAATTTGGGCGCTGGCCAGGCTGGAAATTGAGGTTTCTCTGAGTACTAGTAACAGAAGCAGCTGGCGTGTCTGCCCCATGTGCGAGTCCCTGGGTTAGAGTCCCAACATTGCACAGAAAAAGGAAATTAAAAGAAAAAAAAATCAAGAACCAGGGGCCAGAGCGATAGCACAGCAGGTAGGGCGTTTGCCTTGCACGCAGCCGACCTGGGTTTGATTCCCAGCATTCCATAGGGTCCCCCGAGCACTGCCAGGAGTAATTCCTGAGTGCATAAATGAGCCAGGAGTAACCCCTGTGCATCACTGGGTGTGACCCAAAAAGAAAAAAAAAAAGAAAACAGAAACCAGAGTGATAGTACAGTGGGAAGAACGCTTGCCTTGCAAGCAGCTGACCCAGTTTTATTCCTGGCATCCCAGAGGGTCCCTCCAGATCCATCAGGAGTGATCCCTGAGCGCAGAGCCAAGAGTGAGCCCTGAGCATTGCTGGGTGTAGCCCCCCACTTCAAAAAATAAAAAGTGAAAAAAACAGGAAACAGGGACTGGAGTGGTCGTACAGCAGGGAGGGCACTTGCCTTGCGTGCTGCCAACCACAGTTCGATCCCCGGCATCCCGCAAGGTCCCCTGAGCACTCCTAGAAGTGATCCCTGAGCACAGAGCCAGGAGGAAGCCCTGAGCACTGCTAGGTGTGACCCAAAAATGAAGGGAAGGACGGAAGGAAGGAAGGAAGGAAGGAAGGAAGGAAGGAAGGAAGGAAGGGAGGAAGGGAGGAAGGGAGGAAGGAAGGAAGGAAGGAAGGAAGAAAGGAAGGAAAGAAGGGAGGGAGGGAGGGAGGGAGGGAGGGAGGGAGGAGGGAGGAAACAGAAAAGAGGGGTTCTCGAAGGCTGGAGCGATAGCACAGTGGGGAGGGCATTTGCCTTGCCCGTAGCCAACCCAGGTTCGATTCCCAGCATCCCATATGGTCCCCCAAGCACCGCAGGAGTAATTCCTGAGTGCAGAGCCAGGAGTGACCCCTGAGCATCCATGGGTATGGTCCAAAAAGCAAAAAAAAAAAGGGGGGGTTCTCTTGGACCACACTGGGTATAGGTGGCGGACCCCAAGCTCTTGTCTTCCCCCAGGAGAAGCGGAAGCGGCAGGCGGAGATTGAGAACAAGCGGCGGCAGCTGGACGAGGACCGGCGGCGGCTGCAGCATCTGAAGGTCAGAGCGGGGCTGGACCGGGCTGGGCGCTGCGGGCCGGGGACTCAGGGACCCGGGCTGGGAGGCGCAGCCGAGGCTCAGCTCCCGTCAGAGGAGTCTGAGAGCGCCAAGACCAGCAATTTCATGCCAAATCATGCCAAAGCCACCGCGCCAGGGAGGCTGGGCCCGTAGCGCAGCGAGGGAGGGCGCTCGCCTTGCAAGTCGGGGACCCGGGTTTGATTCCCCGGCACCCCATAGGGTCCCTCGAGCACCGCCAGGAGTGAGCACAGAGCCAGGAGTCATCCCTGAACACAGCCGGATGTGGCCCGCCCAACACCCTTTCCCCACCCCGAAAAATAAGGAATGCAGGTTCGGGGGGGGGGGGGGGGACTGGACAGGGGGACCGGCTCCTCGTCCCTGGCCAACCTTGGTTGGATTCCCCAGCACCGTGTATGTTCCCCTGAGCACCACTAGGGGTCACTGCTGAGCACAGAGCCAGGACTAGCCCTGAGCCCACAACGGTGGTCCAAGACCCCCACCCACCCCCAGATTAAAAAACAACAACAACAACAACAAAGAGGCTTTGTGGGGCTGGAGCGATAGCACAGCGGGTTGGGCGTTTGCCTTGCACGCGGCCGACCCGGGTTCGATTCCCAGCATCCCATAGGGTCCCCTGAGCACCGCCAGGAGTAACTCCTGAGTGCAGAGCCAGGAATAACCCTTGTGCATCGCCAGGTGTGACCCAAAAAGCAAAAAAAAAAAAAAAGTATTAAAACAAAAGGGTCTTCCGGGGGGTGGGGGGAAACCCAACCCAGTCTAGCCCTGGACCTTGCCCTGGACGCGCCCCTTCCGCCGCGCCCACAGGGGCCCCCTTTGCTCTGTCCAGTCCAAGGCGCTGCGGGAGCGTTGGCTGCTGGAGGGGACCCCGCCGTCCACCACAGATGGGGACTCGGACATGCGCAAACAGATGCAGGAGGATGAGCAGAAGGCGAAGCTGCTGGAGGGCTCCATCTGCAGGTGAGTGACCGGAAATGGGGGAGGGGCCGCACGCGGTGGCCCCGGGTTCGATCCCTGGCATCGCATCTAGGCCCCTGAGCCCCACCGGGAGGGATTCCTGAGCACAGAGCCAGGAGTCAGCCCTGAGCACCGCCAAGTGTGGCCCTTTCCCCGAAAAAAAGTAAAAAGAGGGGCCAGTGGGCTTGAGCAGTAGCATAGCAGGTAGGGCGCTTGCCTTGCACGCGGTCAACCCGGGTTCGATTCCCAGCATCCCATAGGGTCCCCTGAGCACCGCCAGGGGTAATTCCTGAGTGCAGAGCCAGGAGGAGTAACCCCTGTGCATCGCTGATGTGATCCAAAAAGGTAAAAAAAAAAAAGAGGGTCCAGAGAGACAGCACAGTGGGAGGACATTTGCTTTTCATATGGCCAATCAGGGTTCTATCCCCAAATATGGTCCCCACAGCCACCAGGAATGATCTCTGAGCCCAGAGCCTGAGCACTGCTGGGTGTGGACCCAAAACAAACAAACAAAAACAAAAGAGAGAGAGAGAGAAAGAAAAGAAAGGAAGGAAGAAAAAAGAAAGGAAGGAAGAAAGAAATAAAGAAGAATGGAAAAAAAACAAAAGTAAAAAGAAAGAAAGAAAGAGTGTGTCAGGTGGGGATCGGATCTGAGTCCCTGGTCACAGGGGCAGGGAGGTGACAGGAGACAGAAGGAGGGGGACCCTGCCGAGGGTAGCCTGGATGCTGTCTGACACCACCTCCAGGAAGCCCTCCAGTCTGAGCCAGGGAAGCCAGGAGGGGCCCAAGGGAGGTCCCCAATTCCCCCCTCCTGCATTTCAGAGCAGGTATGGGAGGGGTGGGACCAGAGCTGCTGTCCTGAACCCCCCCCCATACACACACACACACACACAAACACACACACACACTCCCGGGTGCTTCCTGGCACCGGCCCAAAGGGTGAGATTTTTCTAATGAAAGACACAAGGGCACAGGCAGCTGGACGGCAGGAAACTGGGGGGGAGGGGGCGCTGGGGCAGGCCCAGAGAGTGACCGTCCCCACCCCCCAGCCCCGGGACAAAAGGTCCGGGTTTCCGGCCAGGCAGGAGGCCCAGCGTCCCTGTAGGAAAGTGACAAGCTGAGTTTGCGAGGTGCCCTAGAGTGGGGGAGGCCTGAGCGGGCACCCCAGCAACTGGCCATGGCCCCGCTGGACACCACAGTGCCCAGCCCTGCAAGGGGAACACAAGGGCCCTGCTCAGATCGGCAGAAAATGGAGACGGGGCTGGCCTTGCACCCAGATGTCCAGGGTTTGATCCCGATACCATACCCTGAGCCCACCAGGAGTGGTCCCTGAGCACAGAGGCAGGAGTCATCCCTGAGTCCCACCAGATATGGCTCAAAAAAATTCCCAAACAGCAACAACAAAAAAGTGGAGAGGCTGGGGCCGGAGCAATAGCACAGCGGGTAGGGTGTTCGCCTTGCATGCGGCCGACCCGGGTTCGATCCTCGGCATCCCATATGGTCCCCCAAGCACTGCCAGGAGTGATTCCTGAGTGCAGAGCCAGGAGTGACCCTGAGCATCGCTGGGTGTGACCCAAAAAAAGCAAAAAAAAAAAAAAGTGGAGAGGCCATGGGTGCCCAGGTTCAGACAGAGGTGAGGGGTCGGGTCTATGCCCTGCTGTGTCTGACACAAATTCCAGTGGTTCTAGGCGTCTGGTCTTTCTTCCCACTCCATAGCAGCTGACCCAGGAGTCCACAGTGCTCTTACCTGGACACCACCTCCAGGGAGCCCTCCAGGCTGAGTCAGGGAAGCCAGGCTACCTCACCTATGTCCAGCCTGCTGCCCAGGGCTCCCTTTGTCAGCCCCCTCCCCCCTCTCTCTCTATCACACTCCCCTCCCCGCCCCCACACACACCCAGGAGCACCAGAAGCCCGCCCCACCCCCCACCAGCCTCACGCTGAGGAGGGTTCAGCTACCCGCTGCCCGGGCGGTGACAGCCTGTGGGTTTCATAGCCTGTGTTGTTTTCACGGTGCTTATTTTGTGCCTTGATCTTTGATACTCGGAAAATGACACGGGTTTTCCAATTTCCCCGGAGAGATAATGCTGCCTGTGAAAATAAACAGAAGTGAGTGGGGAAAAAAAAAAAAGGAGGCGGAGGCGGCGGCGACCAGGCTGTGGCCCTGCCCAGAGGCGCCCCAGACCCCCCCCCCCACCCCCGGCCTCATCCTGCTCCCGCCAACCCATGCCAGTGCTCCGTCTGTGGGTGGGTGAGAGCGGAGACCTACTCTCCTGGGGCTCCCACGCGCCCAGAATCCAGGCCCCCCCCGTAAAAGGGGTCCCTGCCGTGCCCCCTCCCCAGGCTGGAGAAGGAGATTGAGGTGCTGGAGAACGGAGACGTGGCCCCGGCTGCCACCCCCAAGGAGAACACGGCCGCCCCCAGCCCGACCCGGGCAGCCCCCAGCCCTGCCAAGGACACAGAGAAGATGGTGAATTCTCAACAGGTAGGGAGGGGCGGGGTGCCCTGGTTGGGGGTGGGGGGCGCCAGCAATGTTAGAATTGGGATGGGGTGGGGGAGGGCATCTGCCTTGCTCTCGGCCGACCCGGGTTCGATTCCCAGCATCCCATGTGGTCCCCCGAGCACTGCCAGGAGTCATTCCTGAGTGCAGAGCCAGGAGGAACCCCTGAGCATCACCGGGTGTGACCCAAAAAGAAAAAGAAATTGGGGGCAGGGGGTGGCGGCCACTGCATCTCTCTGGGAGCCCCGCTTCCCCCACCAAGGGGAGCGTGCTCCGGACATGCGTGGGGCTCCGGGTTCCATCCCTGGCACTGCGTACTTGCCCTGAGCACTCTGAATGTATCCCTGTTGGCCGCCAGCACCTCGAGAGAGCTCACCCTCCCTCCCCAAAAAAGAACCTGGGGCTGGAGCGATAGCACAGCGGGTAGGGCGTTTGCCTTGCACGCGGCCGACCCGGGTTCGATTCCCAGCATCCCATAGGGTCCCCCAAACACCGCCAGGAGTGATTCCTGAGTGCAGAGCCAGGAGGAACCCCTGAGCATCGCTGGGTGTGACCCAAAAAGCAAAAAAATATTAAAAGAATCTAAAAAAATAAGGGAAGCCAGTACTGGAGAGATATAACACAGCGGGGAGAGCATTTGCCTTGCACACAGCCGGCCCGGGGTTCAATCCCCAACATCCCATAGGGTCCCCTGAGCCCAGCTGGGAGGGAGCCCTGAGCATCGCCAGGTGGGGCCCCCAAACAAAAGGAACAGAAAGCCACGCAGGGTGACTTTTTGGGTGGGGGTGGGAGTCACGGCCAGCAGTACTCGGGCAGGGAACCCCATGGGATGCCAGGGATGGAACCTGGGAAGCTGTGTCAGCCGCATGCAGGGCCAGCGCCCTCCCACTTTGCTATTGCTATGGCCCCCCTGCAGGGCGGCCTCAGTCCTCTTTATTCTTCCTTTCCTTGGACCCTGGTGGTTCCGGGGTGCACCTGCACCCCCCTCTGGACAGGAAGGGGCTCCCCCAAGAGATGAGGAGCAGAAGCAGAATTGGGGTGAAGCTGAGAGGCTGGCGGGACCCTCCCTGGTGGGCAGAGGGGTCTGGGGGCTCTGCAAATACCCTGAGGGCTGTTGGGGCTGGGAGGGGTCCACTTTCTCCCTGCCCTTCCCCCAGTCTTGCAGGGGTGGGAGGATGGATGGATAGTGGGGCTGGGGAGGGAAGTCCCAGGCTGTGGGGTTGTCACCGAGTGAGGTGGGGTGGCGTGGCAGGGAGGCTTCCTGGAGGAGGAGGTGGGTTTTGAAGGTTGAGTAGGAGTTCTGTCTCCAGGCTCTGACCTGAGAAACCCCAGTTGTGTATGTGGCATGAGCCCTGCCCTTGGGTGGGGGTGAGGGAGCCGCCTTCAGCAGGCCAGGGGTTGAGCCAACATGGGTCCAGATGAAATCTGGGGGCTGGAGCAATAGCACAGCAGGTAGGGCGTTTGCCTTGCACGCAGCCGACCCAGGTTCGATTCCCAGCATCCCATATGGTCCCCTGAGCACCACCAGGAGCAATTCCTGAGTGCATAAGCCAGGAGTAACCCTTGAGTATCACTGGGTGTGACCCAAAAAGCGAAAAAAAAAAAAAAAAGAGGGGCTGGAGCGATAGCACAGCGGGGAGGGCGTTTGCCTTGCATGCGGCCAACCCGGGTTCGATTCCCAGCATCCCATAGCGTCCCCTGAACACCGCCAGGGGTAATTCCTGAATGCAGAGCCAGGAGAAACCCCTGAGCATCGCCAGGCGTGATCCAAAAAGCAGAAAACAAACAAAATAAAACAGATGAAATCTGGGAGAGGTTTTCTGGGGGGCTGTGTCCGTGAGGCGGGGTGGGCTCTGCCCTGGGGCTTCTGAGCATGAAGGGTGTCCCAGGTCAGTGGAGGGGGACCCTGGTGCACAGGGAGGGAACCGGGGTCTTAGAGGGGCCCCAGGCACCCCTAACTGTCCGTCTTGTTTCTTGCAGACTCCCGCGGGCACGCCCAAAGGTAGGTCGGCCGGGGTGGGCGCCCTCTGGTGGCAGGGCCGGGGGTGGCAGGCTGCGTCCCGGCTCGCTCGCCTCCTGGCCCCTCCCCTCCTCGCTCTGAACTTGCAGCCCCCACCCCATAGGGGGCTCAGCTGCACGTGTCTGTCCCAGGTCGCAGGCGGACCCCAGGACTCAGGGCATGCGGGGGTGCCTGGCCAGCCGTCCCTGGCCCCTTTGTCTGCAGACTCTGAGTGACTGTTTTGGGGGTGGGGGTCCAAGTCACATTTTCCTGGGAAATCAGACAAAATCAAGAGGGTCTCACACATGATGGAGATTAAGGACAGAGTCAGGAGCAGCAAAATCAGGAGTAGGGGTGCAACCGGGCGGTGGGGGCGGTGGGAGGCTGGAAAAGAGGCACAAGTTCCACCCCAGACCTACAGAGTCCCTGATAACCACTAGGAGTGAGCACTGAGGCAGGAGTTGGTTCCAGCACTGCTGGGTGGGAAACTAAAAGGAGAGGGGGAGTGGGGGGGGGACAAGAGATGGTGCAGGGATGAGGGTGTTTGCCTCGCAGACGCCAGAACCAACCTGGGCTCGATTCCCAGCTCCACTGGGTTTGACACCCCCCATCCCTGTCCCTGCCCCGTCCAGTACCTGACAGGGTGACCCAGGTAATTTGGGGCACCCCCAGGACTGGAGCCCCGGCACCGTGTCTGTAAAGTTTGATTCCCTACCCCCCCGGCATCCCGTAGGAGCCCCTGAACCCCACCAGGAATGAGCCCGGAGTGCCAGGAATGAGTCTTGAGCTGGGTGTGACCCCAAACCCAAACGAAACCAAAAAAGTCTGGGGGCTGGAGCGATAGCACTGCAGGTAGGGCATTTGCCTTGCATGCGGCCGACCCGGGTTCGATTCTCAACTGCCAGGAGTAATTCCTGAGTGCAGAGCCAGGAGTAACCCCTGTGCATCGCCGGGTGTGACCCAAAAAAAGAAAAAAAAAAGTCTGGGACGATAATACAGCATGGAGGGCGTTTGCCTTGCACGCAGCCGACCTGGGTTCAATTCCCAGCATCCCATAGGGTCCCCTGAGCACCGCCAGGAGTAATTCCTGAGTGCAGAGTCAGGAGTAATTCCAGTGCATCACTGGGTGTGACCTGAAAAAAAAAGTGTGGGTTCCATGCTATGCCCCCCTCCCCCAACTACAGCAGTTTCTCTGCACATCTGCAGGTATTGAACATCTGGGCAGCTGCAGTGGCCGCCCCCCCCCCCCCCGTCTCACACCTCCCGTGTCTGTTCCCACATCTGAGCGTGGCTCCATGGCCGGGACTGATTTGTCTGGTGTTAATTATTCACCAGGAGACAGTCTCCTGGTCTCGCTGCGGAATTAAAAATTAATAGCTTAAGAAATCCGTGCGAGCCTCTCAAGGGGAACCCCAGGAAATAAATGGGGGGGAAGGTGGGGGGGGTTGACCCAAGGGCTGGGGGCATCTGGGTATGCTGGGGGTGTGGAGGGGGCCCAGCAGCGTGTACTCAGGGCAGGGTCCTGCTGTCGAATCACCGTGGGGGTGTCCAGTATCTAGAAAGTTCTGGGGTTCTGAGGGATTGGGGGCTGGAGCGATAGCACAGCAGGTAGGGCGTTTGCCTTGCACGCGGCGGACCCGGGTTCGATTCCCAGCATCCCATATGGTCCCCTGAGCACCGCCAGGGGTAATTCCTGAGTGCATGAACCAGGAGTAACTCCTGTGCATCGCCGGGTGTGACCCCCCCCTTAAAAAAGCAAAAAAAAAAAAAAAAGTAGAAAGATCTGGGGTCCTGGGGGATTTGGGGAGGGGGTTCAGGAATCTCGGAAGATCTGGGGGTCTGAGGGGCCTGGGGGATCCTGGGAGGTTTTGGGGTCTGCGTGACCATCTCTCTCCCCTCCCCCGCCCCGCAGAGAAGCGGGTCTCCAACACCCCCTTGCGAACGGGTGAAGGCTCCAACCGGATGAAGGCAGGTGGGTGGTTCCAGCCCACCCGCCCTCGGTCCCACCACGGGGGTCGTGGGTCGGGGGTCGGGTCGGGGGTGGGTCGGGAGGGGGCGTGGCTCTGGGCACGCTTGGGGCTCGCGGCTCTGCCCGGCTTCCCAGTGAAGAAGGGCGCCACGCATGGGCTTTGGGGGGGCTAACCCGGGCGCCCCCCGGCTTCCGCCGCCTTCCTCCACGCTCCCTCGCGGGGTGCGCACTTGCCTCCCGCCCCGCACATGCCCGCCTCCTCCCAGGCGCCAGGGAGTGAGCTCTCCGTCCCTGGGGGTAACCAAGTCAGGTCTGGGGGCTTTTGTGCTTTTAGGAAGCGGGGAGAGGGGGGACTTCATGTCATACACCCTCTTGGACAGCCAGCACCCCTGAATTGCTTATCTCTGTTGTGTGTAAGGGGGAGCAAAAATTTGCAGGGGGTGGGGTGGGCCTGTCCTCATCAGGGTAAGCTGCTGGGGGAACAAATTCAGGCTGTCTCGGTGTGAGTGGGGGCAGGGGCAGGAAACACCAGAGGAAGTGAAGTCCATGGGGGGGGGGGAAAGGGCTGTTTCCCGGGGAATTGGCAGGATGTGACTTTCCAGCCAAGGAGAGATATGGTGGAGGTGGGAAAAGTGGGGGTACGTGCTTCCCCGGCCCCCGCAGCTGTCCCTCATTCCTTAAAGGGCCGGGGAGGCTGTTGGGGTGCAGCCTGGGGTGAGGGGCTGGGGACCCCAAGCTCCGGAACCCGCAGAGGATGGGGGGGCAGTTTCCTCCAAGGCGTGACCTGAAGCCTAATACAAAAGGACCCCCCAGGCACGCAGCGGGGCGCAGCATGCAGAGTGGGGGGCTTCCAGGACGAAGCCCAGGCATGGCCAGCTGTAGAGGGGGACCAGGGGGTCGCCCAAAGACAGGACCCCCGCCAAAGGGCGTCTGGGGGCAGAGCAGGAGTCGGACTCCGGGTTCGTGCGCGCCCTCTGGCGACCGTGGGGGGAACAGTCCCGCGCTTGGCCGGGGATGGAGCAAGGGGGGTTGGGGGCGCAGAGACCGTTAGGCGCTGGGACCACCCGTGTGGGTGTGTGTAGGGGGCTTCCCGTACGTGAAGGGCAAACCCGTGGACGTGCGAAGGGTCAGACACGGCCGGATAGAGTCCTCTGGGAGCACCCCAGGACCCCAAGAGGGATCCGGGCGTCAGGTTGGGGGTCCTGGGGGCAGCCCCTGGCCCGGAAGCGACCCCCGCTGTCTCGCATCCTCTCTTCCTGGGAAGTAGCTGAGGAGGGGGGTGTTTTGGGGGTGCCGGCGAGAAGGAAAAGTAAGAACACGCCCTCCCCCTCCTTGGGACTCAGCCCGGAGGGCACTGGTCTTGCACGCAACTGACCCGGGTTCGAATTATGGTACCCCTTAGGGGTTCTCCGAGCACCACCAGGAGTTAGTTCCTGAGTGCAGAGCAAGGACTCAGCCCTGAGGACTGCCAGTGTGGCCCCTCAACCTCCCCCCCCCCAAAAAAAATGCTGTCCAGGGGCGGCTGGGGGGGGGAATGCTGGAACTGGAGGGAGGGGCGTGGCCTGCAGCCCCCGCACCCGGGACCCCCCTTGCTGCCTGCTTTTGGCTCTGCTCTGCTGTCCCCCTACACACCTGGCTTGGCTGCCGCCCGGCGCGAATCCCCCCCAACCCCCCGGGCAGGGACCCCGGTAACATCTCCCTGTCGTACCAGCCATGTACTCGGTGGAAATCACGGTGGAGAAGGACAAAGTGACCGGGGAAACCCGGGTGCTGTCCAGTACGACTTTGCTCCCCCAGGAGCCACGCCCCCAGGGCGTCAAGGTGTATGAGGACGAAATGAAAGGTAGGGGTTCCCCCCCCCCACCCCAGAACCTGCTCTGTCAGCCCTGCCCCTCCCCCACCCCGGGGGCTTGGTCATGCATGTCCATGATCAAGGCACGGGGTGGAGTCCAGAGTGGCCAGGGATGGGGGGGGGAGGGAGGCTTAGCCCTTCTCTCCGGACCTTACGGATAGTTCCAGAAAGTTCTTGCAGTGGATTGTGTTAAGCCCTTGGGGACGGGCGATGGCGGTGGATGAGGGCCCCTAAGTTGGGAGCCAGGCGATAGGACAGCGGGGAGGGTGTTTGCTATGCACATGGCCGACCCGGGTATCCCAGAGGGTCCCCCAAGCCTGCTAGTAGGAGTAATCCCTGATCACCTCCAGTCGTAGCCTAAAAACATAATAATAAGAATATCACGATCACTATCATCCTGTTGTTCGTAGATTGCCTGGAGCAGGCCCCAGTAACGTCTCCTTTGTCCTAGCCCTGAGATTTTAAAAAGTGCCATATTCAAGGCTCGTTCAGGGTTAGGAGAATGAGACCCATCATTGTTACTGGTATTTGGCATATTGGGTACGCCACGGGGAGTTTGCCAGACTCTTGCCGTCTGATAATAATAATAACAATAATGATAAAAGGACCCGAGTCAGGTCCCTTACCCGGCTGGAGCAATAGTACAGTGGTTAAGGCCCTGGCTTTGCACACGGCCGACCCAGGTTTGATCCCCGACACCCCCTAGAGTCCTCTGAACCCCACCCGGAGTGATCCCTGAATGCAAATCCAGGAGTCAGCCCTGAGCATTGCCGGGTGTGTCCCCCAAACAAGACAAACCCCCCAAAAAGATCATGGCTAGTGGCCCAGCCCTGTCCCCTGGGTGCCCTGGGTGTGACTGAATGTTGGGTTCCAGCCAACTCCTCAGCTGGCCCCGTTTGGGGAATTAGGACACTCCCAAGATTGTGTGGGTGGATTTTCCTTCCTTAAGGAGCTGGCACCCAGGATGAGGGTGTGCGGGACCCCCTGCTGGGAAAACATCTGCAGACTCACGGGGTGCAGGGATGGAGTGTGGGGGGGGGTGTCTTCCCGAGCTGGCTGTCCCTTCCCTGCCCAATCGGAGTAAACACCGCCAGCGGCGACCATGGCTCACGGCCGCGCTGATTTCTTGGGGTCTAGCCAGCCTGGGGGAGCTGGGGGGGGGTCGTCCCAAGGGGGTGGTACTCAGGCCTGCATGCTGTGACCCTGGGTTCCATCCCTCCCCGCAGAAAACAAGAAACCCCTAAAATATCTTTGAGGGTTCCATCCAATTCTGCCACAGTTTGGGAGGGGAATTATAGACGCCCCCCCCCCTCAAGGAACCCGGAATCAGAACCAGGACCTCACCCCAGGGTGTGTGTATATCTCTGTGTAAGGTGGGGTGGTCCCAGATTGACCGCCTGGCCCCGCCCACCCGGATCCGCCCCACCCCGGTTGCTAAGCAACCGGAAGCCGATTGTTCTCATGGCAACGGAGGATTCAGGTTCCTGAATTCCAGACCTGGGACAGCTGCCAGGGAGAAAGAACTTGGCTCCTTTCAGTGTGGTCTGGAGCGGGGGTGGGGTAGGGGGAGTTACTCACCCCCTTCTCCAGCCCTGCCGCCCGCACCCCCCCCATCCCCCAAGCATCTCGTCCTGGGCTTTGGAAAACCTGAGCGTGGAAACCACTTTCCTCCTGGCCGCCCGCCCGGCAGCGGGGCCCCGACCTTTGGCCGGGATGGAAGCGACTCCCCAGGGCCCTGCTGGCGGCCCACTGCTGACAGCCCCTCCTTGGAGACTGGGGAACTGACAGCGCAGGAAAATGCAAAAAGTACCTGGAACAGAATCATTGGCGGTGCAGAATTGCAGCCCTCGCCCTCGCCCCCGCCCCCCCCCCCCCCCATGCTCCAGGGGATTTCTAAGTCTGAACATTTGCAGGAAGTAATTAGATCCTGCAGGGCAGAAATGGATGCAAGAGTTTGGGGCTTGGGAGGGCCACACCCGGCAGTGCTCAGGACTTATTCCTGACTCTGTGCTCAGGGATCATTCCTGGGAGGGCTTGGGGGACCCTCTGGGGTGCCGGGGATGGAACCCAGGTGCTCCAGCCCTAATTGCTCCGTGCGGGGCCGGGGGGGGGTCCCTTATTCCCTGGGATGTTAAGACACCCATTTTATCATCCTGGTTCCGTTCCAGGCACCGCCTGGTCCCTGACACCACCAAGGAGTGACTCTCAGACACAGAGCACCGCTGGGTGGGGCCCCAAGGCACAAAACACAGCCAGCAAGATAGCACTTAGTTTGCGTCTGGCTGACCCTGGTTCAATCTCCTGCACCACTTTTGGTTCCCTGGGCCCTGCCAGGTGTGGTTCCAAACGCAAACAAAACTCAGGGGCCAGAGAGATTGTACAGGGGTTAAGGAGCTAACTTTGCACACAACCGACCCAGGGTTCGATCACCAGCACCTCATATGGTCCCTCCCGACCAGGAGTGATCCCTGAGCACAGAGCCAGGAGTAAGCTCTGAGCATAGCCAGCTGTGGCCCCAACACTCCCCTCCCCCCCAAAAAGAAAAATATCCTTTTAGAAACTCAGAGGTGTGAGTATATACTCTGCATATGGGAACTCTGGATTCTTTTTATTTTATTTTATTTTATTTTATTGGTGGGGGGCACACCCGGCAGTGCCCAGGGCTTACTCCTGACTCTGTGCTCAGGGATCACTCCTGGTAGAGTTCAGGGGACCTTATGGGATGCTGGGGATTAAATCTAATTTGGCTGCATGCAAGGCCAGTGCCCTCCCTTTCATGTTATTGCTCTAGTCCCAGAAACCCTAAGTTTCACCCCAGCACCACGTGGTCACCCCTGAGCACTGCTGGCCTGTGTCCTCCTCCTCCAAACAGAACCAGATCTACTTTGCAAAGTACGAAACTCACTCAGTTGAAGAATATAGGAATGCTTCCTGGGGCGGGGGTGAGAGATAGTAACGTGGGAACTTGCCTTATATACAGCCGATTGGGGTTTGACCCCCAGATCCCACAGGGTCTCCCGAACCCTGCCAATCACTGGTGATCCCTGAGCACAGAGCCAGGAGTAACCCTGAGCACTGCTGGATGCGGCTCCCCCCAACCAAAAAAGCTTTAAAATACCAGCTGGAGGCATAGTACAGCCGATAGGCTAGTTGCTTTGCACACGGCGACCTGAGTTCGATCCCCGGCATCCCATGGGGTCCTCTGAGCACCCCAAGGAATGAATGATTCCTGAGCGCAGAGCCAGGAATAAACTGTGAGTACGGCCAGGTGTGGCACAAAAGTAAATAAATAAATAATTCAAGGGCCCAAAGTGGATAGTCCAGAGGGCAGGGGGTTTGCCTTGCATGTGGCCAACCCAGGTTAGACCCTGGCATCCCATAGGGTTCCAGAGCCCGGCCAGGAGTAATTCCTGAGCACTGCTGGGTGTGATGCCAAAATAATAACAATAATAATAGTAAATTCAAAATAGACCCCCCCCAAAATTCCAAGGTGCTCAGAGTGTCTTTTTAATTTTATTTATTTATTTTTTTTTTTTTTGGTCACACCTGCAATGCACAGGGGTTACTCCTGACTCGTGCATTCAGGAATTACTCCTGGCGGTGTGCGGGGGGACCATATGGGATGCTGGGAATCGCACCCGGGTCAGCCGCATGCAAGGCAAATGCCCTACCTGCTAGACTACCACTCCAGCCCCTTGTGCCTGGGCTTTTAGTGTTTGGTTTAAAGCAGGAGGGCAGGGGCTGGAGCGATAGCACAGCGGGGAGGGCGTTTGCCTTGCATGCGGCCGACCCGGGTTCGATTCCCAGCATCCCATATGGTCCCCCGAGCACCGCCAGGGGTAATTCCTGAGTGCAGAGCCAGGAGTAACCCCTGAGCATCGCCGGGTATGACCCCAAAAAGCAATAAATAAAGCAGGAGGGCGGCCCCGGCCGGGCTCCCTGCCCGCCCACCACCCACCCACCACCCCCATCTCTTGTGTCCGCCCTCCCCCCCCAGTGGTCCACGCCGTGGACGGCGCCACGGAGAACGGGATCCAGCCGCTCAGCTCCTCGGAGGTGGACGAGCTGATCCACAAGGCGGACGAGGTGACCACGCAGGGCGAGGCGGACGCGCGGGGCTCGCCCCGGGCCCCCGCGGCGCGGACCACCACCCCGGCGGCGCGGCGCGAGATCACGGGCGTGCAGACGCAGCCCGGGGAGGTCGCGGCGGGGCCGCCGGGCCAGGAGCCCCCCGTGACGATGATCTTCATGGGCTACCAGAACGTGGAGGACGAGGCGGAGACCAAGAAGGTCCTGGGCCTGCAGGACACCATCACGGCCGAGCTGGTGGTCATCGACGACGCGGCGGCGGCCAAGGAGCCCCCCGACGCGGTGGCGCCCCCTAACGGCAGCGCCGCCCCCGCGGAGACCCCCGCGGCCGCCGCCGCCGCCCCGGGCGCCCGGGAGGAGCCAGCGGCGCAGGAGGGGCCGGGGGGCGGCGGCGGGGGCGACCCCCAGGACCTGGACATGAAGAAGCAGCGTTGCAAGTGCTGCTCGGTGATGTGAGGTGCCCGGACCCCCGATCCCCGCCCTCCGATCCGCCCACAGATCCCACCAGCTCGGCGCCCGCCCACCCCACCCACCGCCTCGGGACCCGCCGCCGCCGCCGCCGCCGCCGCCGCGGGGTCCCCTGCTCCTGAGGGTTTGGGGAGGGGGGGAGCGCTGGGAAGGGAGGGAGGGACAGGGGAGCCCCCCGCCCGGCGCCCGACACCCCGACGCACCCCCTCCTCCGCGCCCGGCCCGAGAGAGACGGTTGTTTGTTCACCCCGAGTCGACGACCACCCCCCCGACCCCAGCACACCCCCCACCCTCACCCCCATAAAATCCTTGGCAGCTTTTCAGATGCGGTTCACTGATGGGGGTCTCTGCTGGTGGGATGGGGCCTCCCTGCCGCCCCACATCAGCCCCCCACGCCCCTTTCGGGGTCCTGCCTGTGCCTTCCTGCCACCTCCAATGAGGTCCCCATGGGGGCCGCCCCTGGGGAGGTCCGGGGTGCTGGGGGCCCCCCCCCCCCGGAAACCCAGAGTGCTGCCACAGGAATATCAAGCAGGCAGGGGATGGGGGGCAGGGTAGCCTGGTGGGGGTACCCCCATGTGGCTGAACACAAGGGCTGGGATTTGGGGGCCCCTTTCACCCCAGGGCTCAGCCTTGGGGGCGATGCAGCCAGAGAGTGGGGAGCCCCCCCCAGGCTCCATGCCCCCCCCACTCCAGCCACCCTCGACCCCTTGACCTCTTGTCTCTTTGGGGCTGGTCAGGCATCTGAGCTGCACCCCCTGGGTCCCCCTCTGAGAGCAGGATCCCCCAACAAACCCCCCACTGGGCGTTCTTACCTCCTGGTGCTAATTTGGGGGACCCCTGGGGAGGCTGCCCTGGCCTCTTCTCCAGCCGCGCCCAGATGGGGACCCCCCACGCCCCTGCGGGGAGTTTCTGGGCTGCATGGGTGGGTGCTCAGCCTAGGGCAGGGAAGGTCACCCCCCAGTTTGGAGCTGGAGACCCCCCCCCCACAATGGATGGCCCAGCCCTACAGAAGCCCATTCCCTCTGCAGGGGCGGAGGAGGGAGGGCTCAGCGGGGCGGGAGTGGGGGGTCACTCCTAGGGGCGCCTCTCCCTGCGGTGGGGGGCACTGCACCCCCCATGAGCCCTCAGGCGTCCTGCGGACCCCCGCCCACAGCCAGGTTCCTCTTTCCTGGCTTCAGCCCGCAGCGATCGGTGGGGTGGGGGGCCGCCTGGCCGGCAGGGGGGCCCCCGCTCCCCACCTCTTCCTCTGCCCCTTGGGTGGTGAGGGGGTGAGGACGTGTCCATGAGGAGCTGGGGTGGCCTGGACACCCCCGCAGCAACCCCCCGAGAGTCCTCCAGCTGCGAGCCCCACCGAAGAAGTGTCCCTCTGCTTTGACATGCACCCCACCCCGCACCCCGGCTCCTCCCCTCCCGGAGAGAAATAAACTTTGTCAAAGGCCTTTCTTGGAGTCTTGGGCAGAGGGGGGTCGCCGCGGAGGGTGGGTGGGCAGGCGGCCATAAATGGAGGGTGCGGGGCTGGAGCGATAGCACAGCGGGGAGGGCGTTTGCCTTGCACGCGGCCGACCCGGGTTCGAGTCCCAGCATCCCATAGGGTCCCCCGAGCACCGCCAGGAATAATTCCGGAATGCAGAGCCAGGAGGAACCCCTGAGCATCGCCGGGTGTGACCCAAAAAACAATAAATAAATAAATAAATAAATAAATGGAGGGGGCGGTGGCTACATCCCCTCTTTACTCTCCCCTGCACCCCTTGGACATGCCGTGGGGGGGACTGTGGGGTCCCCACTTGCTGCTGTGTGCCCCTGAGTGGGCAAGGCGGACCCTCATTCACACCCATCTCGATTTGCTTTCTTTGGGGGGCACCCTGGTGGTGCTCAGGGCCGACTCCTAGCTCTGTGTTCATGGATCACTTCTGGTGGGTTTTTTTTTTTTTTTGGACGGGGGAGTCCGATGGGATGCTGGGGACCGAACCCATCAAACCCCGCATGCAGGATAATGCCCTTTCCACTCTGTTCTCCCTCTGGGCACCCTCGCTGAAATCCATAGGGTGGGCATGGCCTGGGGGAGGGGTCCCCTGCGGTCTTGTGGGAGAAACTACACGACATTCCCCCATTCTCAGAGGGAGAAAGAAAGAACTCAGCTGAACCCAGGCCCGAATGAACCCCCGGACTGGCCTTTCCCCAAGGAGCCCCCTGATATGGAGGAACTGAGGACCCCCACAAGAAACACGGACTTGGGTGGAGATTGAGCACAGCGGGGAGGGCGTTTGCCTTGCACGCGGCCGACCTGGGTTCGATTCCCAGCATCTCATAGGGTCCCCCGAGCACAGGAGTAATTCCTGAGCACAGAGCCAGGAGTAACCCCTGTACATCACCGGGTGTAACCCAAAAAGTAAAATAAAACAAACAAAAATTTTAAAAGAAAGAAAGAAAGAAAGAAAGAAAGAAAGAAAGAAAGAAAGATGGGCCCTGGGTTCCATCTCCAGCACCCCAGAGGGTCTCCCACGCCCCTCCAGGAGTGAACCCTGAGCACAGAGCCGGGAGTCAGCCCTGAGCACCGCCAGGCCCATGAACAAAAATTACCATCAAAAGAAACCTGAACCTGTGGCCACCCCCCCTACCCCTGGTCTGAGCAAGGCTGAGGAGTGGGGGTTCAGCTGTGGGGAGGTGGGGGGGGTGGATGAGGCTCCCTGGGGCCGAGGGGCAGCCTCACTGTGGGCCAGCACCCGCCGCCCGGCCCTGCCCGCGGGATCGTCTTTCTCCCTCCGCCTGTGGACTTTGTTTTCTGAGCCCAGGTGGGGCCGGGGAAGGGGCCACCTGCTTCCTGGGGCGGGGCCCTCCCCTGGCAACCCGGAGGGAGGCCAGGGCGGTGCCCCAGTCCCTGAGGCCCGCAGAGCTGAGCTCCAGGGCGGCTGGTGGAGCTGGTGAGTCTGAGGTCTGGGGGGCTGGGGGGTCTGGGGGGCTGGGAGGTGCTGAGCAACGCAGGTATGGGGGGGTGAAGGAAAGGCAGGGTTCTGGCTTGTGGCGGGAGGCTGCTCCGGACACAACCTGCCTTGGTACAGGGTCATCTCTGTATACCTGCGGTTCTTGGGGTTCTGCCAGGGAGACCCCCCAACCCCACCCCACTTCCTGTCAGAGTTTCAGGCTGCTCCACTAACCGTGCTCCCTCCAGAATGGTTTCATATGTCTTACTGGGTTTGGGGGCCACTCTCGGCGGTGCTCAGGGCTGACTCCTGACTCTGTACTCATTCCTGGAGGGCTTGGGGAACCCTCGATGCTTCCAGGGATCAGACTCAGGTCAACCGCATGCAGGGCAAATGCCCTCCCGGCCATCCTATGACTTCGACCCCTCAGAACAGTTCTGGGGGTCCCTCTTGGAGGCCTCAACCTGAACCTTTCCCGGGAGCGTCAGTTTCCAACCTGGGCTGCTAGAACCCTGAATGCCCATTGGTACCCCAATAGCGGGAGACTTCACCCTCCCGTGTCCCACATGGGCTGAGAATTTGCAGACTTCCAGGAGACACTTATCAGGGTCAGCCTGCGGGGGGGGGGGGGTTCAGGGATTGGGGTTCAGCTGGGGAAGGGTGGGGACGTTAGAATAGATACAGAAGACCACCTAGATAGAGTATAGCATCTTAATGTAGGATACCGAGACACAAGAGTATTTAGCATATGTGTGTGTGGTGTGTGTGTGTGTGTGTGTGTGTGTGTGTGTGGTGGGGGGAATTGGGTCCACACCCACGGTGCTCAAGGCTGACTCCTGGCTCTGTGCCAGGCTGACTCCTGGCTCTCTGCTCCGGGATCACTTCCGACAGTGCTCAGAGGACCTTAGGGGTTACCAGGGATTGAACCCAGGTCAGCTACATGCAATGCCAAGCGCCTTACCCACTGGACTATCTTCCCAGCCTCTCCATTCCCATTTCAAAAAGTGCTTACATATTTCCTTTTTTTTTGTATTGTTTTGGGGGAGGTCACACCTGACAGTGCTGCTTACTCCTCCGCAGTGCTGAGGGGTCCGTGAGTGCTGGGGCTCAAACCCAGGATTCCAGCACGCAAAGCCGATGCTTCAGGCTTTAAAGTATTTCCCTCCCCCCCAACCCAGCCGCTCCCCCTAGAATTATTTCTTCTTCTTCTTCTTCTTCTTCTTCTTCTTCTTCTTCTTCTTCTTCTTCTTCTTCTTCTTCTTCTTCTTCTTCTTCTTCTTCTTCTTCTTCTTCTTCTTCTTTTCTGTTTGGGTCACACCCGGCAATGCTCAGGTGTTACTCTTGGCTCTGCACTCAGGCGGTACTCAGAGGACCACACGGGATGCTGGGAATCGAACCCGGGTCAGCCGTGTGCAAGACAAATGCCCTACCTGCTGTGCTATCGCTCCAGTCCCTTCTCTTCTTTTTCTTTATTTTTGGACCACACTCGGCTAGGCTCAGTGCTGACTGATTCCTGGCTCTGCACGCAGGAAACAATCCTGGCGGTGCTAGGGGACCCTATGGGATCCCGGGTATCGAACCCAGGTCTGCCAGCACCCTCCCAGCTGAGCTATCTCTCCAGCCCCCAGAATGTTGATCCTTATTTTCCTACTGCCTCTGTGTGGGCATCAGGTCTCGCTCTTCTGTTTACCGAGTCTTCCCTTTCCTGCAGAGACACGCCCGGGCTGAAAGCGAAAGTGGTTTTTGGGTCCGACCCTGGCCCCTGGGGTGACCTTGGCCTCCCCCTGACTCAGGCCTTTGCCCTTGGGGCTGGATGATGGGGTGTGGGGGCAACAGGTGTGTGGCTGCAGGGACCATAAACCCAGTTTCGGCTTGATAGTGGAACAGGGTGAGGCAGGTAAAACCCAGCCCCGGGCTGATTCCTGGAGGAGGAAGCTGCCCACTGAGGACCTGGGCTTAGACCACTGCTGTGTGCCACAAGGTGAGTGGCTCACCCTCTCTGGGCTGCAGTTCCCTGGGCTGTGAACCGGTTCAACCAAGAGTCCTTAGACTCGGGCATGTTATTATTATTTTTTTTTCTTTTGGGTCACACCTGGTGGTGCTCGGGGCTGGCTTCTGACTCTGTGCTCAGGCGCTGCTTGGGGGACCAAATGAGATACTGGGAATCGAACCTGGGT